CCCAGCGCCCCTCTCTTAAGGAATACATAACGGCGACGCTAGCAACTTTGTTACTTAGGTTGGAATAAATTGAGACCCCCCCTAAATGAAAAAAAATCACTGTTTGTACCCATCCAAAAGCACCGAAAAGCATAGGATTGTTCTGAAATATAGGGTAGGCAAGGCATCGCATGGTCGACTTAAAGGGAGCGCATGTTGCCCCGGCTGCGCTTTATGGGCCTCCAGGAGCCCCAAAACGGTTTGTCTAGGGTCGATGTGCTGGGTACCATCGTACTCGGCTACCATCGTACCCAATGGGTGCTGGGCTGTCGGTCATAGGTGCACAGCAGCTGGATGGCTTTCAGACTGCCGGTCATGGGAACCCGGGAGGCGTGCTGTTGGTGCAGGGCAAACCAGGGGCTGTAGGGTGACCGGCGGAGATGGATGGGCCACCCCACCTCACCCATGTGTTGTGCACAACATCCTGTTCAATTATAAAAACCGCATACGACACAACACCTGCCACTGCCCATCCGGGATTCTGGGGGTGCTCTCCCTAAGTTAAATTACTTAAGGGTTGATGGCTGGTTTGGCATGCCACGTGTTTGTGCGCCTCTTCTGGTTGTGTGTGTGATGACTCTCCTATAAATGTCCAGTCAAACAAACGGGAGAGCCACTGGCTAAATGACTTCAATACGACAGGGACCCTGGGGGATTCGTGTGGGTGTGAATGATGCATATGCTAATATCACTGAGGCCCCATAAATCTGTGTGGCTGTTTTTTCCTTCGGGGGGTGAAGTAAGGGAGACATGGCGCTCCGTCTCCATCCTTCCATCATTTCACCCTCCAACCCTCACTCCACCCTCCCTCAATAATCCCTCCACAATACCATTTCCCTCTCTTCCTCCACCCTTCCTCCATCATCCCCCCCACTTCCCTCAACGCTCCCTCCCAACATCCTCCCTTCCCCTACCATGTGCCCTCCCTTCTTCCATCCTGTGCCTTCCCCTCTGCTGTCCCCTTCACTCCCTTGGCCTTCCCTCCCTCCGTTCTTTTTTTGGAGTGAATGTGTGTGCCCCACCATCCGTGTGCTCATGTGCCCACGTACAAATGTGTGTATGTATCATGGGTGCGACGGTAAACAGGCAGATGTGTGGCACGGCTACCATCGCACCCAATGGG